TCCCCAGTCATTCTCAGTGGATGTGTTCATTATTCTAGACTCCCCAGTCATTCTCAGTGGATGTGTTCATTGTTCCAGACTCCCCAGTCATTCTCAGTGGATGTGTTCATTGTTCCAGACTCCTCACTCATTCTCAGTGGATGTGTTCATTGTTCCAGATTCCTCAGTCATTCTCAGTGGATGTGTTCATTGTTCCAGACTCACCAGTCATTCTCAGTGGATGTGTTCATTGTTCTAGACTCCCCAGTCATTCTCAGTGGATGTGTTCATTGTTCCAGACTCCCCAGTCATTCTCAGTGGATGTGTTCATTGTTCCAGACTCCTCATCATTCTCAGTGGATGTGTTCATTGTTCCAGATTCCTCAGTCATTCTCAGTGGATGTGTTCATTGTTCCAGACTCACCAGTCATTCTCAGTGGATGTGTTCATTGTTCCAGACTCCCCAGTCATTCTCAGTGGATGTGTTCATTGTTCCAGACTCCTCAGTCATTCTCAGTGGATGTGTTCATTGTTCCAGACTACCCAGTCATTCTCAGTGGATGTGTTCATTGTTCCAGACTCCCCAGTCATTCTCAGTGGATGTGTTCATTGTTCCAGATTCCTCAGTCATTCTCAGTGGATGTGTTCATTGTTCCAGACTCCCCAGTCATTCTCAGTGGATGTGTTCATTGTTCCAGATTCCTCAGTCATTTTCAGTGGATGTGTTCATTGTTCCAGACACCCCAGTAATTCTCAATGGATGTGTTCATTGTTCCAGACTCCTCAGTCATTCTCAGTGGATGTGTTCATTGTTCCAGACTCCCCAGTCATTCTCAGTGGATGTGTTCATTGTTCCAGACTCCTCAGTCATTCTCAGTGGATGTGTTCATTGTTCCAGACTCCCCAGTCATTCTCAGTGGATGTGTTCATTGTTCCAGACTCCCCAGTCATTCTCAGTGGATGTGTTCATTGTTCCAGACTCCTCAGTCATTCTCAGTGGATGTGTTCATTGTTCCAGACTCCCCAGTCATTCTCAGTGGATGTGTTTATTGTTCCAGACTCCTCAGTCATTCTCAGTGGATGTGTTCATTGTTCCAGACTCCCCAGTCATTCTCAGTGGATGTGTTCATTATTCTAGACTCCCCAGTCATTCTCAGTGGATTTGTTCATTGTTCCAGACTCCCCAGTCATTCTCAGTGGATGTGTTCATTGTTCGAGACTCCTCACTCATTCTCAGTGGATGTGTTCATTGTTCCAGATTCCTCAGTCATTCTCAGTGGATGTGTTCATTGTTCCAGACTCACCAGTCATTCTCAGTGGATGTGTTCATTGTTCTAGACTCCCCAGTCATTCTCAGTGGATGTGGTCATTGTTCCAGACTCCCCAGTCATTCTCAGTGGATGTGTTCATTGTTCCAGACTCCTCACTCATTCTCAGTGGATGTGTTCATTGTTCCAGATTCCTCAGTCATTCTCAGTGGATGTGTTCATTGTTCCATACTCACCAGTCATTCTCAGTGGATGTGTTCATTGTTCCAGACTCCCCAGTCATTCTCAGTGGATGTGTTCATTGTTCCAGACTCCTCAGTCATTCTCAGTGGATGTGTTCATTGTTCCAGACTCCCCAGTCATTCTCAGTGGATGTGTTCATTGTTCCAGACTCCCCAGTCATTCTCAGTGGATGTGTTCATTGTTCCAGATTCCTCAGTCATTCTCAGTGGATGTGTTCATTGTTCCAGACTCCTCAGTCATTCTCAGTGGATGTGTTCATTGTTCCAGACTCCTCAGTCATTCTCAGTGGATGTGTTCATTGTTCCAGACTCCCCAGTCATTCTCAGTGGATGTGTTCATTGTTCCAGACTCCCCAGTCATTCTCAGTGGATGTGTTCATTGTTCCAGACTCCCCAGTCATTCTCAGAGGATGTGTTCATTGTTCCAGATTCCCCAGTCATTCTCAGTGGATGTGTTCATTGTTCCAGATTCCTCAGTCATTCTCAGTGGATGTGTTCATTGTTCCAGACTCCTCCGTCATTCTCAGTGGATGTGTTCATTGTTCCAGACTCCCCAGTCATTCTCAGTGGATGTGTTCATTGTTCTAGACTCCCCAGTGATTCTCATTTTATGTGTTCATTGTTCCAGACTCCCCAGTCATTCTCAGTGGATGTGTTCATTGTTCTAGACTCCCCAGTCATTCTCAGTGGATGTGTTCATTGTTCCAGACTCCTCAGTCATTCTCAGTGGATGTGTTCATTGTTCTAGACTCCTCAGTCATTCTCAGTGGATGTGTTCATTGTTCCAGACTCCCCAGTCATTCTCAGTGGATGTGTTCATTGTTCCAGACTCCCCAGTCATTCTCAGTGGATGTGTTCATTGTTCCAGACTCCCCAGTCATTCTCAGTGGATGTGTTCATTGTTCCAGACTCCCCAGTCATTCTCAGTGGATGTGTTCATTGTTCCAGACTCCCCAGTCATTCTCAGTGGATGTGTTCATTGTTCCAGACTCCCCAGTCATTCTCAGTGGATGTGTTCATTGTTCCAGACTCCCCAGTCATTCTCAGTGGATGTGTTCATTGTTCCAGACTCCCCAGTCATTCTCAGTGGATGTGTTCATTGTTCCAGACTCCCCAGTCATTCTCAGTGGATGTGTTCATTGTTCCAGACTCCCCAGTCATTCTCAGTGGATGTGTTCATTGTTCCAGACTCCCCAGTCATTCTCAGTGGATGTGTTCATTGTTCCAGACTCCCCAGTCATTCTCAGTGGATGTGTTCATTGTTCCAGACTCCCCAGTCATTCTCAGTGGATGTGTTCATTGTTCCAGACTCCTCAGTCATTCTCATTGGATGTGTTCATTGTTCCAGACTCCTCAGACATTCTCAGTGGATGTGTTCATTGTTCCAGACTCCCCAGTCATTCTCAGTGGATGTGTTCATTGTTCCAGACTCCCCAGTCATTCTCAGTGGATGTGTTCATTGTTCCAGACTCCTCAGACATTCTCAGTGGATGTGTTCATTGTTCCAGACTCCTCAGACATTCTCAGTGGATGTGTTCATTGTTCCAGACTCCTCAGACATTCTCAGTGGATGTGTTCATTGTTCCAGACTCCCCAGTCATTCTCAGTGGATGTGTTCATTGTTCCAGACTCCCCAGTCATTTCTCAGTGGATGTGTTCATTGTTCCAGACTCCCCAGTCATTCTCAGTGGATGTGTTCATTGTTCCAGACTCCCCAGTCATTCTCAGTGGATGTGTTCATTGTTCCAGACTCCTCAGACATTCTCAGTGGATGTGTTCATTGTTCCAGACTCCTCAGACATTCTCAGTGGATGTGTTCATTGTTCCAGACTCCTCAGACATTCTCAGTGGATGTGTTCATTGTTCCAGACTCCCCAGTCATTCTCAGTGGATGTGTTCATTGTTCCAGACTCCCCAGTCATTCTCAGTGGATGTGTTCATTGTTCCAGACTCCCCAGTCATTCTCAGTGGATGTGTTCATTGTTCCAGACTCCTCAGTCATTCTCAGTGGATGTGTTCATTGTTCCAGACTCCCCAGTCATTCTCAGTGGATGTGTTCATTGTTCCAGACTCCCCAGTCATTCTCAGTGGATGTGTTCATTGTTCCAGACTCCCAGTCATTCTCAGTGGATGTGTTCATTGTTCCAGACTCCCCAGTCATTCTCAGTGGATGTGTTCTTTGTTCCAGACTCCTCAGACATTCTCAGTGGATGTGTTCATTGTTCCAGACTCCCCAGTCATTCTCAGTGGATGTGTTCATTGTTCCAGACTCCCCAGTCATTCTCAGTGGATGTGTTCATTGGTTTATTAATTATATCTTATTATGATAGAGTTAAGGGTAATATCGTATTTAAAATATAATAAATTATTTTCCTCTGGTATTTTTTTAATATTACTAAAGTAATTGATAGTTGAAGAAATTACACCAACTATTTTTTTTTAATTTATAGTAATTACTTAAGAATGTAATTTTGTCTTGTATATTAAACCACTTTAAACACTAATATAATTTTTGTGTTTATTTACACTTATAAACTTACACAATCATACACAGTTTCACTCTACTGTAAGTCTCAAATTTAAGGGAATTTTTGTCTTCAGAAAAAAATTTTGGCCTATGCTAATGTCTATTTCCGGCCAGACTTGCTGAGGTCAATAGTCAATAGTCTCACACTCATCCTGGCCTCTCAAAAAAAAATTTTCCCTTTTCATAACCTATAGAGATGTTACACAAATAACCCGCACATAAAAGAGAGAAGCTTACGACGACGTTTCGGTCCGACTTGGACCATGTCATTATTAATGATACCCGTGTGTGTTAAAATAAGTAAAATAAGCAAATAACATTTGCATGAAAGTCGTCCATTATTAAAACATGGTCCAAGTTATTCATCTCTTTGACTCACCCAAACTGGGGGTCTCTGTTTCCATATATATACCTGGAGGGTATTCCGGAGGGGGGTCAACGCCCCTGGAGCCCGGTCCATGACCAGGCACATCCATTACATATTTCTAAGACTGTGCATTATGCTACATTATTGGGATAACACTTACTGATTTCATTAAGAGATTGAGGTTAGGTTTCCGGAGGTCCTTCACGCTTCTTACAACAACATTTTGCAACCACAGAAAAGGAAATCAAATATCTGAGAACAGGGTAGTGGTTTTTCACGCAAAAGTAGGTGGTAGGTGAGACTCTCCCTCCCATGAGGTCGTCGTCAACACTGGCTGTACAAAGAGATCATCTACGAGCCATGGAATAACATAAATGTGACGAGAAACGTCCCATCTCACCAGTTCCAATTGATTTCGAGTGACAGTGTTAAAATGGCTACATTACAGCCTTTCCTACACATAACACAGCGTCTCTCTACATAACACAGCTCCTCCCTACATAATACAGCCCCTCGCTACATAACACAACCTCTCTCTAATGACAGTAAACTACACCCACACAAATACAGCCTCCGTGCACCGCTTGATAGTGTATATGATTAGATTGTTCCCACAGCTCTACCGCCCGAGGATTATGACGACGTCTCTGAGAAGCGCAACTCTCTCTCCTTCGTCATCATCAATCCCTCGTGTGACCTCAAGCTAGAGGAGGGAGACATTGTGTAAGTTTGTTCTTGTACTGTCCTTTTATGTTGATGGATTACAAAATACCTATATTTCTAGTTTCCAAGATTTATATATATATATATATATATATATATATATATATATATATATATATATATATATATATATATATATATATATATATTGTGGCATACTAATAGTATGTTACATTTTATACGGCATGTCACGCACCCATATGGGCATGCACTCCAGACCAGTGAACCATGTGCTAAGAGTATAATGAGTAGGGGCCCCCTGGTTATACTAGCGTCTTGGTTCAACCAGCCAATGACAAGGAAGTCCTCCAAAGTTGTGAAGCGATGAGGGACACTCGTGAATCAACACTGGTAGACTTACCTCCAAGTCTGGCCGAAGATGGTTCTCACCGTGTCTCTTGTTTGCATTAGATTACTGTGCGTATTATCTGTATATATTGTACATACACTGCTTGTTGTTTGGTGAAGGAAAGATAAGTATTTACTCTCTTGCTGCCGCCATTTTGCTCGCTCCTCATTTCTACCTTAGCTGTTGTGCTACAACCAGGTGTGCAGGCCACTAAACTACACCTGAGTCTGTGTTAGGTAAAAGGACACAAGCACAACTAATGTGACATTTTACTGTGGCAACGTTTTGCTCTCCAGGAGCTTTATCAAGCTGTTACAAACAATACATGGACACAGAGGGTATATATAGGCTTAGAGTGAGGTGTGGTAGTACTAATACTAGTAGTAGAAAAGTCAACTTGTACATGTATTGCAACTACTACTACCACTAGTATTACTACTACTGCTACCACTAGTATTACGACTACTACACCTCACTCAAAGCCTACATATAGCCTCTGTGTCCATGTACTGTTTGTAACGGCTTGATAAAGCTCCTGGAGAGCGAAACGTTGCCACAATAAAATGTCACATTAGTTGCACTTGTGTCCTTTTACCTAACATATTGTCGGCAATTCTACCAACATTAATACAACCTGTGTTTGTAATATATATATATATATATATATATATATATATATATATATATATAATATATATATATATATATATATATATATATATATATATATTATATAAAGTGGGACAGGAGTAAATATTGTGATTATCTCATAAAATGTCTTAGTCTCTGGCTTAATTAGTGTAGTTTGGGTTATTTTCTTTTCAGAAGATTTTGCTACTGACTTCTGACACCCATCCAGCTGTAGTGTTAATCCTGCGACTCTCGTAAGTGCTACAACAGCTGTTGTTCTGTAAGGCTTTTCCTGCAAGCCTGGTCCGTGAGTGAATGTGGTTTCACCAAATTATCCCTTTCAATTCATGATTACTGATGAAATTCATGATGGAACTGTGAAAGTATTGTGACTCATAAAAACTTCCTGATTTGAGTACCAGACAGATCACCGAGATTTGAGCCTGGCAAAGTCAACTGTTTGTCGGATTCTGAAGAACGCTGACGACACTGCTGATTGTGGAGCTCTGCGTTAAGGAAGATGTGGAAGAAAACGCAAGACAGCTCCTCACGATGACAAGGTTATCATATGAAATAGTGTGAAGGATCCCAAGAAAACCAGCAAAGATCTTCAGAGAGATTTGGCTTCAGCTGACGTAAATGTTGATTCTTTAACTGTTTTACGAAGGCTCCTTGAAGTTGACAGATCTGCCAGAGAGACGGTAAAAAGGAAAACAGTTGACTGCTGATGTGAAGAAAAAACGGCTGCGGTGGGCACTCGATCCTAAGAGCTAAACAGATGAATGGAGAAGAGTTATATTTTCAGATGAGGCGCATATTGAAGTACATGGGTACAGATCAGTGGTAGTGAGACGGAGCAAAGGCGAACCTCTTCGGAATGAACACATTCAATAATTGCCAAAACACCAACCTAGGAAGATGTTTTGGGGTAGTTTTACTGCTAAAGGCTCTGGACGGAGTGTTATTGTTGGGGGAATGATGAACAATGACAAATACAAGGCAATCCTGGCTACTCATTTGCTTCCCATTGTGGACAGAGACTTTCCTGATGGAGAAGGCATTATCCAGCGGGATCTTGCTACATACGACACTTCCAGAAAAATGCTGATATTCTTCGAAGAGAGTGGGCTAAGTGTTCTAAATTGCCCTGGAAACTCCTGACCTCGACCCAATGGAGAATGAATGGGCAATAACCAAACGCAGGATCGCGAAACAGAACAGTTCAACTGTGAAAATGCTAAATACTGCTGTTATTAGATGATCAGGTACCACGACGACGAACTTGCCAAAATGTGTTCAACGTTGGTCGATTCAATGTCAGAGCGTGTTTACCTGGAGAGAGAGAGTTCCGGGGGTCAACGCCCCCGCGGCCCGGTCTGTGACCAGGCCTGTGACCAGGCAATGTTTACAAAAGTAAAGGGCAGTCATGTCTCTTATTAAATCATCTGTCATATCATTGCCGTGTATTTTTCAAATAAACATTAATTTTCCAAATAAATGTCTTATTTCATCACTGTCCCGATTAACATTCACTCTACTGTATGCATATATACATACATTACTGTCTCGGACAAGCGATCTTAACAATGCAAGACAAGCCATGGGGGATGGAAATCTTCAGCTGAAGATTTACATCCCCCATGATTTGTCTTGTACTTTCTTCATTACGATTTATCCTGAGTTTATCGTCTATAGGGCTTTGAGAGGTATTAGACTAGTGTATAAACACTAGGGTCACTGCTGGTGACCACTGACACAGAAAAGCTACAGAAGTGCTATCTGAGAAATCTTTAGAAAGCCCTGGGAGCTCCGTGGTACTGCCTTGGACCTGCTACGTGCCAGAAAAATGGTTGAAGTCCCCGTTCATTCATTTGTTTTCCTTCATTGCCAGTCATTTTTATTAAAGAGTAATATATATTTCAGCCTTACACAAATCTCAAAACATTAAGAGACTTTTCCGTATTCCTTTGGTGTCATATAGTTTAGGAACATTCATTTTGAGCAGAGAGAAGTTTAAATTATTCAGTGAAGTGTCTGACAGAACGAGATCTGAAGAAATAACTGATGTTAAATAAGCATTTGTGGGAAGAAAATAAGGAAGGCGAAAATTCTAATTCAAGAAATTTGTGATTAAGAATAAATGTGGTAGGTGGAAGATAATTGATAGTATGTAAGTGGAAGATAACTAATAGTATGTAAGTGGAAGATAACTGATAGTATGTAAGTGGAAGATAACTGACAGTATGTAGATGGAAGATAACTGATAGTATGTAAGTGGAAGATAACTGATAGTGTGTAGGTGGAAGATAACTGATAGTGTGTAGGTGGAAGATAACTCATAGTATGTAAGTGGAAGATAACTTATAGTATGTAAGTGGAAGATAACTTATAGTATGTAAGTGGAAGATAACTGATTGTATGTAGGTGGAAGATAACTGATAGTGTGTAGGTGGAAGATAACTGATAGTGTGTAGGTGGAAGATAACTGATAGTGTGTAGGTGGAAGATAACTGATAGTGTGTAGGTGGAAGATAACTGATAGTGTGTAGGTGGAAGATAACTGATAATATGTAGGTGGAAGATAGCTGATAGTGTGTAGGTGGAAGATAACTGATAGTGTGTAGGTGGAAGATAACTGATAGTATGTAGGTGGAAGATAACTGATAGTATGTAGGTGGAAGATAACTGATAGTATGTAGGTGGAAGATAACTGATAGTATGTAGGTGGAAGATAACTGATAGTATGTAGGTGGAAGACAACTGATAGTATGTAGGTGGAAGATAACTGATAGTATGTAGGTGGAAGATAACTGATAGTATGTAGGTGGAAGATAACTGATAGTATGTAGGTGGAAGATAACTGATAGTGTGTAGGTGGAAGATAACTGATAGTGTGTAGGTGGAAGATAACTGATAGTGTGTAGGTGGAAGATAACTGATAATATGTAGGTGAAGATAGCTGATAGTGTGTAGGTGGAAGATAACTGATAGTGGTAGGTGGAAGATAACTGATAGTGTGTAGGTGGAAGATAACTGATAGTGTGTAGGTGGAAGATAACTGATAATATGTAGGTGGAAGATAGCTGATAGTGTGTAGGTGGAAGATAACTGATAGTGTGTAAGTGGGAAAATAACTGATAGTATGTAGGTGGAAGATAACTGATAGTATGTAGGTGAAGATAACTGATAGTATGTAGGTGGAAGATAACTGATAGTATGTAGGTGGAAGATAACTGATAGTATGTAGGTGGGAAAATAACTGATAGTATGTAGGTGGAAGATAACTGATAGTATGTAGGTGGAAGATAACTGATAGTATGTAGGTGGAAGATAACTGATAGTATGTAGGTGGAAGATAACTGATAGTATGTAGGTGGAAGATAACTGATAGTATGTAGGTGGAAGATAACTGATAGTATGTAGGTGGAAGATAACTGATAGTATGTAGGTGGAAGATAACTAATAGTATGTAGGTGGAAGATAACTGATAGTATGTAGGTGGAAGATAACTGATAGTAAAGTAGGTGGAAGATAACTGATAGTATGTAGGTGGAAAGATAACTGATAGTATCAGGTGGAAGATAACTGATAGTATGTAGGTGGAAGATAACTGATAGTGTGTAGGTGGAAGATAACTGATAGTATGTAGGTGGAAGATAACTGATAGTATGTAGGTGGAAGATAACTGATAGTATATAGGTGGAAGATAACTGATAGTATGTAGGTGGAAGATAACTGATAGTGTGTAGGTGGAAGATAACTGATAGTATATAGGTGGAAGATAACTGATAGTATGTAGGTGGAAGATAACTGATAGTATGTAGGTGGAAGATAACTGATAGTATGTAGGTGGAAGATAACTGATAGTATGTAGGTGGAAGATAACTGATAGTATATAGGTGGAAGATAACTGATAGTATGTAGATGGAAGATAACTGATAGTATGTAGATGGAAGATAACTGATAGAATGTAAGTGGAAGACAACTGATAGTAAGTGGAAGATAACTGATAGTATGTAAGTGGAAGATAACTGATAGTATGAATGGAGGTAGAAGAGTATAGCAAAGAGGTTTTGTGAGGTGTTATGAGAAGGTTTTGGGTATTTTGAAAGTGAGAGAATTAGTCTGATACTAACTCACCACTAAAAGTCACCGTCCTGCCACTGACAGTCTCCCTAACCACAACCACTGAGACTCCCAGCTTGTCACAACCAACTCTCACAACTACTCACTAAAACTCCCGCAGAACCTTACCTGTAGATTCGTTCTTGGGTTTAACACTTCTCGAAATTGGACACCAGAGTTGTGTAATATAAATGGGACACCCAGCTTTGTGTAATATAAATGGGACACCCAGCCTTGTGTAATATAAATGTAGCCTGGTCTTCTCATAACATTACCACGTCTATATTTTCCAAACCATGCTAATTTCCGTTTTTTTTTTCATTTATAATGTTGGTATAATTGATTTCGTTTTCTTATTTTTCTTATGATTGTTTAATTCATTTGGAAAAAGTAATAATGAGAGTTCCTTCCTAGATATCTCATCCGGCCAAGTCCGTTCTCGGCTCAGAAGACATTCGAGAGGCATAATTCCCGACGGAAGTCCAACATATCTTTGTGTGACACTAGACGACGAAGCACTACTTTCACCCGCCCACCGCCGCTCTCAGCACCCAAGTCCAATTCTCTGAGCCTTCCAGACAGCCCACAGATCTCTCCTGGTGAGTGTGTGCTTCCAGTGGGTAGACACAGCTGCTGCTTTAACTGCTCTTCACTCAAGTAGGGGTAGTTCCAACTTGTCAACGAAGAACTGCAAACTTTGAAACTCGAATCAGAATTTGCACGATTTTAATCTTTGTTTTTTTGATCTAACTGTGATTAATTCTTCCTCCAAATCCCTGTTCCTTCAGCTCCCGTCCTGGGTTCCCTTGTAGAGTCCCTTACCGTCCCCATGTCCCCTCCAACAGGTTATGTCCGAGGGCGTTCCAACTCCCTGCGTGTTGACGACATCCTAATGCGGCGCTCAAACTCTCTTCGGTTTGGTCTTGAAGGAAGCCGCAAGATCAACAGCTTCGAAGAGCTGGGGATCAGTCCCCTGACGCCTCTCACCAGAGACCAGCGTACTGGATCCATCAAGATTCCCACCAATGGCTCCATTGGTTTAGAAGTAAGGAATATATGACATTATTACCTTACGGTAATTTACATGATTAATAAACATTTATGGTACACAAGTATTCATTGGGAAATTAATTTTTTGCCTTTCACAACAATATTATTTACAATGTCATAATCTCGGTGTTTAATGGTGCATTATTCTTTCCAATGTGTTATTGTATTTTTCTGTGGCACAGGTGACGCCGCCAGAGGAATGTGGGTCTGAGGCGTCCGTTCCTTCCATCCAGCTCCAGGGTACCATTGTCTGACCCCCGCCATCACCGCGACCCGCGCGTGTCTGGTTCCATATGAGTGGGGCTCGCGGGGTGGCTCGCTCCCGCTCTCCGCATCTTTGACATACATCGGCCTCCTTCACTTCGCGGCCAGCTCTGGGGCCCTCCCCCTGGCCGCACTCACAGTGAAAGAGGCCAGCACAGCTTAAAAGCTGGGCTAGCTGGCTCGGTCAGCCTAGTCTCAGTCTGGTTTCTAGTGATGCCATAAGTGCTTGGTTAGAGTGCAATTTGTCCAGTACTGGACACTCTGCGAACCTCGGGTACAAAAGTAGATGAATTTAATTTCGGTACTTTATCGAACCTTTAACCTGCGGAACTGATTTAAATTTAGAAGTGAGATATTATTTTAATCTGAGAATCACATAGACTCAATGGATTACGAGCATAATAGATCGAAAATACATTCTTCTCTTGTGCTTCACCGCGATTGCGGTTTACCTTCCATGAAGGGTTTGTTGTTGTTAAAGCGAGAGTCGAGTCGCAGGTGCTGACAGGTCGCTATACTGAGCACGGGGATCCCTCTACAGGTATAACACTGCTCTCTTCACACCTCCACATCCCAGGTCCTCTACACCTCCCTACAAAGTCCAGCAATCCCTTACAAGCTGAATATTAATTGAAGACCCACAGTGTGCAGCTGAAGTCCAGGCAGCTGTGTGAACGTGGGGCAGGAGGGTGTGGGTGTGGGATAGGGTATGAACGTGGGATAGGAGGGCGTGGGATAGGAGAGTTAAGATGGTGGTAGGCATCACCTACACCAGCATCATCCACTACCTGCTGCACCTGGTCATTATATCATATCTAGCAGTATACTCATTTTTCAATATTTACATTTCGACCTTTATGTGGATTTTTCATTTTATTATATTTAATATATGCATATGTTTATTTGCATACATTTACATTATATATATATATATATATATATAATATATAAAATATATATATATATATAATATATATATATATATATAAAATTTGTACAGACATAAAACATGTGAAAAAATCATCCTTAATACTGCATGATGTACATGACCCAACACATAATGTACATGAAGCATCACATATACATTAAACATCCCATTACCATGAGAAAATCACATTTAAATTATCACACGATGCAAATGAAGCATCACATTTGATTTTTTCACATGTACTTGTAGCATCACATGATACACAAAGCATCACATGATACACAAATCATCACATGATACACAAATCATCACATGATACACAAAGCATCACATGATACACAAATCATCACATGATACACAAATCATCACATGATACACAAAGCATCACATGATACACAAACATCACATGATACACAAATCACACATATACACAAAGCTTTCACATGATACACAAAGCATCACATGATACACAAAGCATCACATGATACACAAATCATCACATGATACACAAAGCATCACATGATATACAAAGCATCACATGATATACAAATCATCACATGATACACAAATCATCACATGATACACAAAGCATCACATGATACACAAAGCATCCCCTTTGATACACAAAGCATCACATGATACACAAAGCATCACATGATACACAAAGCATCACATGATACACAAAGCATCACATGATACACAAAGCATCACATGATACACAAAGCATCACATGAAAACACAAAGCATCACATGATACACAAAGCATCACATGATACACAAAGCATCACATGATACACAAAGCATCACATGTAGAATATGTACATGTAACATCAAATGAAATACTTCAATGTACATAAAGTATCACATGATATAAACCATCACATGATGCACATAAAACATCACATGTACACAAACTTTATACATGTATAAGATAGCATATGAATTACATAATGTGCGAGCTCCATCACATGTGCATGAATCATCAAATGATGTACACGAACCATCATGTACATGAACCTTCGCATGTATGTGTGCCATCAAATGTACATGAAATGTCAAAAGATGTACATGAACTATCACATGATGCATATGTACCATCACATGTACGTGAACCGTCACATGATGTACATGAACCATTACATGTATATGTACCATCACATGTACATGAACCATCACATGTACATGTACCATCACATGATGTACATGAACCATCACATGATGTACATGAACCATCGCATGTACATGTACCATCACATGTACATGAACCATCACATGTACATGAACCATCACATGTACATGTACCATCACATGATGTACATGAACCATCACATGATGTACATGAACCATCGCATGTACATGTACCATCACATGTACATGAACCATCACATGTACATGAACCATCACATGTACATGTACCATCACATGATGTACATGAACCATCGCATGTACATGTACCATCACATGATGTACATGAATTATCACATGTACATGTACCATCACATGATGTATATGCACTATCACATGCACATTTACCATCACATGTACATGAGCCATCACATGTATATGAATTATCACATGTACATCGCATGTAAGAACATAAGAACATAAGAATGGAGGAACACTGCAGAAGGCCTACTGGCCCATGCGAGGCAGGTCCTTATCAAAACGACTACTACCTAAAGCTTCCCTAGAAATAACTCACGTACCCCATGACACCAATCAAACCCAGCCCCTCCCACTCATATATTTGTCCAGTCTCTTCTTAAAGCTACCCAAGGTCCTAGCCTCTATCACCCAACTGGGAAGACTGTTCCACGCATCTACAACTCTGTTAGAAAACCAGTACTTACCTATGTCCTTTCTAAATCTAAATTTATTCAACTTAAATCCATTATTCCTGGTTCTTACCTGGTTCGAAAACCCCCCAGTACTTTATTAATATCTCCCTTTTTATGCCTGTCATCCACTTATACACTTCAATGATATCTCCCCCATTCTACGCCTCTCCAGAGAGTGGAGATTTAAGGCTTTGAGTCTATCTTCATACGTGAGGTTTCTTACACAGTAAATCATTTTAGTCTTCTTCTCTGTATGTTCTCTAATGATCTAAATCCATCCGTAGTAAAGGGGGCCAAAACTGAGCAGCATAATCTAAATGAGGCCCTTTACTAGTGATGTAAAAGAGCTGTAAAAATAACTTTTGGACCTTCTGTTACTTATAACTTCTTGAGATAAAATCCAAGTAATCTGTTGGCCTTGTTGCGCACACTAAGGCACTGCTGTCTTGGCTTTAGAATTTCTGCTTACCATGACTCCCAAGTCTTTTTCACCATTCGTATGATCAAGCTCTACTTCACCTAGATTATAGCTTCGAGGGTTATTTTTCATTACCCAAAGGGCAAGTACCTTACATTTCCCATTAATTTTGCCATTTTTAAACCCAGCAAATTTTAAAATCCCCCTATTCTTTATTCTAAGTAAATTAAGGTTTTTGTTTAAAAAATTTCCCACCCCCCCCCCTCCAAAAAAACCCCCCCCCCCCCACCTTTAAACCCCCATATGACTAATCCCCTTTAAAATTTTTTAATTAATTTTTTTTTCTTTTGGGTAAGCCATCCCTCAATCCATCTAGAAGTTTACCTCCTTCCATGATCCATTTCTTAAGAGTCTCTTTTGAGTACCTATCAAGGGTTTACTAAAAACCAAAAAAAATTTTTCAGTTCCTACACTGTCAACTGCCTCAAATGTTATTTTAAAAACGTCAGAAGTTTGTCAGGCAGGAACGACCTTCGTGAATCCAGCTGAGATTCATTTATCAAGTTAGTCTTTTAAGGTACTTTTTGATATGCAGCTATAATTGATTTAATAACTTGCCCACTAAGTGTAGGTTATTGGACGGGAAATTTTAAAAGGGGTGGACTTTTCCCCTGATTGAATATAGGAACCCCCATTTGCCCTCTTCCACAATCTGGCACAACACCGGGAAGGATGGACGCATTTAAAACACTCGTTAAGATGACTAAGCTCCCATCTTGCTTCCTTTTACCCTGGAAAACACTCCGGGTCCAGGGGGCTTTTTTTTGTTTAGTTTGTCATCTGTTTAATAACCAGTCCCCGGACGTAATATTTGTTAAAAATTTAAAAACATCAGGAACTAAAAAATTGTTAATTACTGGAATCTCATTACATCTTTCCCGTTAAAAATGACAAAAAAATAGTCTTTTAAATAAGGAACACATTTCCGTTCATTTTCCTCGCTTCCATTCCCAGTTTTCAGAGGTCCCCTTTTTTCCCTTTCCCCTTTTGTCCTATACACTTGAAAAAAACCCCTTTGGATTGTCCCTTTTATTCATTTGCAACTCATTTTCATATCACGTTTACCTTTCTAATCGCCTTTTTTTTCTTCTCTTTTAAGCTAACATATTGGTCAGTAAGGTTTAAAATCTCCCTTCGATCGCCTAAAAATTCCCCTTTTTTCCCTAATGATGCTTTGCCTCCTGTTAACCCTTGGGGTCGTTTTTATTGACCTAATTTTTTCTCTGGGGAATGTATATACTCTGGGACTGTGTACATTTTAAAAAAAACAATCATAAAAAGCGGTCCCTGAAATGTACAAAGTATCACGTTGGGGACATGTGCATCACTTTTTGTACATGAACCATCGCATTTACTTTAAACCCTCACATGTCATGAACCTTTCCCCAAATCTAAACAGTATGTGATCCTATTGGGCATCATACTTTCACAAAAAATCAAAAGTGCACAAAAACACCCTGTTCCTATGTAACACAGGAGCACATAAAAAATAAATGAACCACCACAATCGATTGAACCGTCGCATAACACATATGAAAAAACAGTGAGTAAAACCTGAACATGTACGAGACCATCACATAAAAAAAAGAACGAAAGTGTATACTTATAAAGGGAATAACACGAATAAAACAGGTTTATCACCCCAGATGAAAATGAAGCATCACATACCAACGCAATTTTCCCGGTAAAGGGGCGTTTTTCACAAAAGGGGCTTGTAAAATCAGCTGCGCCTTATACGCTCAAGGCGGGTCAAGGGAGGGGTTTTTTGTTAACACTTCCCGCTGTTACTAAAGGGTTCGTTTTCAATTGGGGTTTTAAAAAATAG